GGAGAAGACAAGACTGCGTGGAGACCTCATAGCAGCCTTCCAGTATCTGAAGGGGGCCTATAGGGATGCTGGGGAGGGACTCTTCATTAGAGACTGTAGTGACAGGACAAGGGGTAATGGGTTAAAACTTAAACAGGGGAAGTTTAGATTGGATATAAGGAGGAAATTCTTTCCTGTTAGGGTGGTGAGGCACTGGAATAGGTTGCCCAGGGAGGTTGTGAATGCTCCATCCCTGGCAGTGTTCAAGGCCAGGTTGGACGAGGCCTTGGGTGATATGATTTAGCGTAAGGTGTCCCTGCCCACAGCAGGGGGGTTGGAACTAGATGATCTTAAGGTCCTTTCCAACCCTAACAATTCTATGATTCTATGATTCTAAGATTGGAGCAGTGATGCAGGAGGGCATCTAAGAAGTTCACTGACTGCATCAGGCTGGTGACACTTCTGAATGACAGCAGATTTTGGTGCTGATGAACCCCTTTCTTCTACAGATGAGTCCTCAGTTCCGGTTATTTTAATTAACAGGGATGAAGCAGACAGAAATGTTTCAAACATACCATAAACTAAAGGATAATTAGAGTTTGACCTTACACATTATGCCAAAAGGCACCGCAATGCACCCATTTATTCTAATAATACCACAAGAAGTTTGAGATTAAAATGATATAACTACTTGACTTTCAGAAATGCTGAAGTCTAAAGCTGAATTAAAAATAAAAATAATGCAACTTAGATGCAGGTTTAAAAAAAAAAAGGATAATTGCCTATAAAGAAAAATGTAATTAGAAATGTGTCAGAATCTTCACCACCTGCAAACTTCAAGAGTTTAATGGCCCTCTAAAAAGGAGTGACTCTCCCCCAAACAGCAGGATGCCTGTAATATAGGTGACCCTAGGAAACTCAAGGTAACATCCTGAAACAGACCGAGAAGAAATTTTACATTTTCAGTCATTTGGCTGCAGCCTTGGATGGCTCCTTGCCAGTACTACACAGACAACAAAGAGAACTGAGAAAGAGCAGTGACAAAACCAGCCTAGCTGTTTGGAAGGGGAAGCAGAGACCTAGTGGCAGACAGACAATAGCAGCAGCTTGGCAGAAATAGCAAAGGAGGGAAACAGAGCTTTAATAAACAGATCGTGGTCAGCAATACTGAGCACACAGATTTTTATAAGTACACCTAAACTTGTTAGCTCTGAAAACAGGATGCACATACAATGAAAGAAAAACAAGAACTAAAAGAGATCCCAATCAGGCAGACACCTGGGAATGAACACTAGATTTCACTGCTTTTCTTGTAGGCATAAAGACTTACAGGAAGAACTTCAAAATCCAGATTATACACATAACAGCTCTGCCATCATATTTGAACACCATCTTAGTATGTTTTACTCACACTCAGAATAACATAAAAATAAAAACAAAATGGTTTTAACTGTTTTAAGGGAAAAAAAAACTTTTAATGCATATGTTATTTATACATGGATAATATTACTTATTAAAACGTACAGCTCCAAACCATGACCCACCAATTTAGTTACCACCTTATATTTTGTACAGTTTTGACTTAATCATAATTACTGCTACTTGAAAATCAATCTACACTATAGCTTGATTCTTCTAGAAACTTTGCTAATGCACTTTAACCACTCACCACCTAGCCAGCTGAAAACCACTTCACAGAAACATAGCTATTTAAACATGTTTTGTTCTGATGTCACTCTATCATTAGTCATGTGAACAGTTTTACATTTGATTTTAACACACTCTTAGAGCAGTTGTGCTTTTCCCTGCCTTCTGTCCCCAAACACTCCTACTTATGTTGCCCTTCTCCCACACTGGCACAAAGTCCTTCACTGCCGACTTCCACACTGGCTCATACTGCAGTACTGAACTGGAAACCACAGCATCAATATACATCAGAAATCTTTCAGTAAGTAAGGGCCTGGGTGAAGTGACAGTCAGACTTAGGTCCCCAGGCAAGTTCCTCTGAAATAGCCAGAAAAGACATTAATTCAACTCATTCATCTTCAATCTGCTGCCCCTGTACAGCATTCTGAGACACCAGCTCAGCTAGACAAAACCACTGTGATGCTAACATGGAGACAAATTCTCTATCTCAGGAAAACTGTTTTAAGTAACTAAGCACAGCTCAGCACTAAACTTACAAAAAATGTAAAACATCAGTAAATGCAAAAGTCAGAGTTCATTAGCTTGCTCTAACCACATGAAGACATTTTTACTACGTTCATTTTTTGGCCATAAAGCTATAAATCCAAACACAGAGTCTAGGCAAACAAACATTACATCAACTTCAATGAAACAAAGCTTTGCCAATTAAATGTTAAATAGCATTTCTGCATTAAGTGCAACTGATTTCTTAATCTTGAGAATTTAACTCCACATACCTATTGAAAAAATTAACACAAGAAGCATTACATGTCCCACTGGCTGCTCCTGCAGGTCTCTAAAGAGTACTTAACACAAACAGTAATTTATGGTATCTAACTCTTGGACTTGAAGTATCTCAAATGCCACTTCAGAGCATTAGGCCAACTGCTGTTTAAAATTATGTGTAAATTAGTTGAATCATGACCCTCCACTGGAAAAATCTGCCTTATGGATCATGTCCTTAGGGAGTTGAATGCTGTAGTGACAACTTACCACTGAGCTAATCAAGAATCAGAAAATGAATTTAAAATTAACTAAAGCAGAGTCACTGAAAAAAAAAAAAAATCAATAGTGTTATCCAGATGAACCAGGTCATGCATGCTAGAACCTCCTACCATTTACTACTGCAGTACATTACTGTTACAGTAAACATACATTCTAACCTTTTGCAAAATAACACAGAGAAGTTGAAACATTTTTTTTCACTACCAGGAATTTAGAACACATTTACTAATTCAGAGTTTTTAGATCCTGTCACTGGTCAACGTCTGATTTTGAAAATGTCAGTGATTAATCCCAGCCCTAAACCTTTCCGTGTGTGAGTCTATATATTTTCCATGTAATTTCTGCTGTAAATTTGCAACACTACATTCCTCATTTACTCAGTAACTGATGGACACTAAAACTAAATACACCTTTAAAAGCCCAAGGATCCACTATTCTTAAAATAAAGGACTTTGAACTTAAAACCACCTTTGTCTTTGAATTCCAGTACTCCAAATACTTGATAAGCTCTGCTGCAAATCAGCAAAAGAATTTGTATCTAAGCATCTTAAATAAACCTGTTTCACGTAAGTCTATCTCTACAAAATGATTCTGTGTTTTGGACTGGTAATGAGTCCTATCAACATTTTTTGCCAATCGGTCTGGCTTTGCCCTACCCTGTAGTAGGACAGACCTTTTAGGTAGCGTTTTTCAAGTGCAGAGATAAAAGGAGAATCCAGTACATACATAGGACAGATTTTGAGTTGCTGTTGTCAGAAAGAAAAAAATCCATCTCCTCCCATTCGTTCCCAGGCTACAAGACCCTTTTGCAACTGACACGCTTTGAGTTTTTCTTTTTAAGTATTCTTCATACACCCCCTTTTTTTTTGCCCCAGCTCCTATCTGCCCCACAAGAAAGGTCTTTTAATGAAGAACACTTACCTACGTAGTAGAAGAGTCTAAAGAAGAAAGCTAGCTACTTGTATACCCGTTGTTTTATTTTAGAGAGGAAGTCAAGAACAAGCCTTACATCCCAGCCATCCATGAAATAAGAACCACAGGACCTGTCTGAAATACAATTGGGAAGTAACAGCATAAAGTCATCAACACACACACTGACTTTCTGAAAACCAGCAGGAACTGAAGTTATCCTTGGTCATCCTACAAGATAATGCCACAGCAATAATTCAAAATTCAAGGAACTTTTACTTGAGGCATGGTTTGTATAACACCTATATTGGAGACATCAAGAGACACAAAGGAGGTCAGAAGGGAACTGCACACTACTGATCCGTCTTTAAGAAGTAATGAAATCATGTGAGCACTTTGAAGAGGCTATAATATCATAGCAATAGCCATCTTGGTGTCAGATTAAAGATAACCTTCGGGAAAACCAGTAGCATCGACAGACTGACTCATCCTAATCTGACTTTAGCTCTACACTTTCTCTGAGGTACTTCAATGGATTTGGGGATTTAAAATCAAATGAAGCGATATGCACTTGCTCTAAAGCACATTGCTGAAACTGAAATAACCAAGACAAGAGAAAGCTTTTATTAACCACTAGAATGCTAAACAAATGTTTTGTTGATACTCTCAAAACAACAGAAATTTGCTACATAATTTTAGCCTACCTTCCTTTCAGCTAAACAAAAACATTCGGTTTTCCAAAGCCTCTTAGTTCCCTAGCCACACTTTGAAAATATTTAAATTATTTAATGTTTTTTAACAAGTATATCATAACCACTTCCATAAACAAATTTTTATCCATAACATTCTAAGTCTGCAAATTTTGCCTTTTTTCTAATATATCAAGGGAAACTTTCCTTTATCCAGACAAACACTTTTTGTCTAAAGAGAAGAGAAGCAAGGAGGTTGCAGCTTCAGGGGACTGTAGCAGTATTTTCAATCTAAGCAATGAGTTATCAGGTGTGGAAAACAGAAAGGGCAGAGAAAGTAAGGAGGGGTGGGGGGAAAAGAGTGCAAAAGCCGATTTGTAATAGTCATGCCAACAAACATTATTCTCTCACTCAACAAAAGGATTAGTGAAACACAGTTATTAGACTGAGCGAGCTCCGGGTCAACAACTTGGTCCTGCCATTCACTCCACAGCTGACTTCACCTAACAGGCACTGCTTAATAGGTGAAATGGACAGAAGCAGACCTCTAACCCATAAAGTCTGTGAACTTAACCTTGTGGCTTTGTTATGAGTGCTTTAAATGGAAAATAAACAAAATGTAAGTTGGAATAGTTCATCGCAATCTTAAAATACCACTCAACTAAGAAAAAACAAATATTTGCATAATCCTTTTCTGTAAAGCAGATCACAGCAACAATTAAAAGGGCTTACCCTTTTGCGTTCAGATTTCTTGTGAAGGTACAGAGCAGACACTAATTTTCATGTGGAATAGATCACTCCTTTGTCAACATTTTTGAACCTTTGTTACTGCTGCTTTATAGCTTTTCATGTACTGGAATAAAAAGAAACAGTGACAGATATAAGCTGTGAACAAGTTTATTATCGAAGCACAGAAATTATTTTCTCATATTTGATTCTTTTCTCAAATTTAGAAAGTACAGCTTAATGGAAATATTTCACACAATTTAATACAATTTTGCTGCTAACCAGACTAGAATGTTGGAAGCAATAGAACTTTATGTTCAAATAGGAATTCCAATTTAAATCTTTTCCCATAATTTCCTTATCCACACTGTCCTCACCAATAAAATAACCATTTAACACACTGTCGTGGTTTAAACCCAGTCAGGTAGCTTGTTCGCTCACTTCCCCCCTTTTCTTGCCCTCCCCCTGCTCTCGGAGGGACGGAGAGGAGAATCAAAAAGAATGCAACTCCCACGGGTTGAGATAAGAACAGTTTAGTAACTAAGGTATAACACAAATCACTACTGCTACCACCAATGATAATAATGATAAAGGAAATAACAAGGGAAGAGAATACAACGCCTCAGCACCAGCCAACCGATAACTCGCCCCCCCAGCCCGACCAAGCTCTGACCGATACCTCCTCCAACCCTGCAGACTCCCAGCCCTTCCGGCTAACTCCCTGTTACATCCTGGGCATGACGTGCTGTGGTATGGAATACTTCTTTGGTCAGTTTGGGTCAGGTGTCCTGCCTCTGCTTCCTCCCGGCTTCCCCTCCTCCCTGGCAGAGCATGAGGCTCACAAAGTCCTTGGCCAAACCAAAACATCGCTTGTTATCAGCTCTGTTCCCGAGCTGAAAATCAAAACATTGCACTGCACCAGCTACCAAGAAGGGGAAAAATGACTGCTACTGCTGAACCCAGGACACACACAGAAAAGTAGTTTGACTATTTCTTGGTTAGAAGAGAATGCTGTACTCCCACACATGCTAAGAACTGTGTCTGTAAATTTAAACAGGATGCTGGGAGGTACCAGCCTGTCAGCCTCCTCAATCTGACTGGGAAGATGATGGAACAGATGCTCCTCAAAACTAAGCTAAGGCACATGGAAGACAGGGAAGTGACTCCAAACAGCCACCACTGCCTCACCAAAGGCAAGTCCTGCCTGACCAGCCTAGCAGTCTTCTATAACGGAGCGACTACATCAGTGAGCAAGTCAACAACCATGGATGTCATCTCTCTGAAATTCTGTAAGGCCTTTGACACGGTCCCCCACAACATTCTCTCTAAACTGGGGAGATATGGATTTGATGGGTGGACTGTTTGGTGGATGAGAAACTGGCTGGATGGCTGCCACTGAGTGGTCAACAGTTCAATGTTCAGATGGAGATCAGTGACAAGTGGTGTTTCTCAGGGGACTGTACTGGGACCAGTACTGTTTAATATCTTCATCAATGACAGACACTGGGATCAAGTGCAGCCTCAGAGAGTTTACAGATGACACCAAGCTGAATGATGCAGTTGACACACCTAGGGAATGGAATGCCATCCAGAAGGACCTGGACAATCGTGGGAAGTGAGCCTGTGTGAACTTCATGAGATTCCACAAGGCCAATGGAAAGTCCCGCACTTGGGTCAGGGCAACCCTCAGTACCAATACAGGCTGAGGCATGAAGGGATTTAGAGCCGCCCTGCCAAGAAGGACTTGGGAGTACTGATGGATGAAAAGCTGGACATAAGCCAGCAAAGTGCACTCACAGACCAGTAGGACAACTGTATCCTGGGCTGCATTGAAAGAAGTGTAGCTATGAGGTCAAGGGAGGAGATTCTGCCCCTCTGCTCTGGTGAGACCACAGGGAGTATGAAGATGATCAGAGGGATGGAGGACCACTCCAATGAAGAATGGCTGAGAGAGCTGGGCTTCTTCACCCTGGAGGAGGCTCCAGAGAGACCGTATTGCTGCCTTTCAGCACTTAAAGAGGGCTTATAAGAAAGATGGGGATGAACTTTTTAACAGGGTCTGCTGCAATAAGATATGGGGTAATAGTTTTAAACTAAAGGAGGGTAGACTTAAACTAGATAGAAGGAAGAAATTTTTTACAAAGAGGGTGGTGAAGCACCAGACCAGGCTGCCCAGAGAGGTGGTGGATGCCCCATACCTAGAAATATTCAAGGTCAGGTTGGATGGGGCTTTGAGCAACTTGGGTTAGTGGAAGGTGTGCCTAAGCATTGCATGAGGGATGAATTATTTCACTCAACAATTTCACTTGCTACTATCAGGCCTTTATAAGAATACCAAGACAGTATGTTGCTAAAGGGCATCTGCTTAAGGTATGTTCTGGAGTTACAATAGACAAAAATTTTCCCTTTATCTAATCTGAAATCTGTCCTGTACCATTTCATCATCATGGCAGTACCGAACTCAACAAGCAAACGCTACACTCACACTGATGCTCTATTTCTTATACTTTTCTTCAAAAATTAATGCAAAAGGTAGAGAAGTGATATTTTCAGCTTTTGCAATAACATGTTTTTGTTTCTAATCCAAATCTGTACTATTTATGAACTTGATATTCCAGACAGAAGATAAAACCATTATTGCACATGTAATGATGTTGTGGCTCTACTTGAGCCTGTACATCCAAGCACCTCCTGTCTCCCTGAAGACAGCAGAAGCTCTAAATCCTCAGCCCCCTCTCTCCAAACTCAGGTTTTGAAGACAGCATCCACTTGAACATTTTCTTGTCTACTGACACAGGATCCAATCCAGAAAACAAGTCCAAAACATATTTAACTGTTGTTCGCACCTAGACTGACACCTTGTTTGTGAGATTTAAATTACTGCTTACTTAAAAAATAAAAATATTAAACAACTTCTACTTGCCTCTCCCTATTTTTTCTTGCAGCTCTATGGTAACAGTATTCCACCAGTATTTTTCACAGTAAAAGCAGAATAAGAGAAAAGGTCATAAAATGCTCTGGAAGGCAACACTTATTAACGCAGCATTCAAGATTGGATCAGAAGCAGCAGCAGAACTGGGAATCACTGATCCAATGGCTCTGCTCTTTTTTTTATTTGCAGTTCACCCTACAGTGCCTGAAGTTGTTGACAGTGCTCTGTCAGCAAACTTATTCGCGAACTCATTCATATTGCACTGTCCACGGTGACTGTAACCAACATTTCAAGAATTGCATTTATAGAGCAACTGTCAGTAGAAGGACTCAGATGTGCAGCAAAAACGCAATTCACCAGTTATATTCAAGGTGCAGACATTTCAGAAATCACGCAGAGAGGTTCTTAAACTGGAATTGTCAGAGAAAGGCATGTAAGACCTTCTGAGATGCTCTGCTGCTGTTCCTCTGACATGCTCTGTTGTTGTACAAAATCTCTTCAGCTTTAAGCAGTTGGTAAAATAGTATTTGTAACATTAAGTAGCACCACCTCTCCTCAATTACAGATTCTGTTTATCACAGTAACAAGACAAATATTTATAAAGTGCACTACATGTAAAAATTGTAAAGAATTTTTTCACTTACACATGTCAAATGATTCAACAATCAGGCACAGGTTCATAATACCCACATCATATAACAATACATGGGAAGACCAGCACACTTGAGACTCAGCTTTCAAAATACATTCCAAATTATACACGTCCAGTATGCAGTGTAAGTTCTTCCTAAATATTTCAGGTTTACTCCACCTTCAAGAGAGGGCAGAGCTTCTTTATAATTATAGCTTAATAGAAGTTATAGCAGTTTTAGAAGACATCAAATAGCATTTAATCATGGCTATAACATCCATGTAAGGTACAGTATATGCTTGACATCATCTCAAGAGCAAAATGTCCCAAACCATTTAAACTATGCTTTTTGAAAACTCCTGGATGAATAACCAGTGTCCTAGTGGGCACATACAGCACATCCAGTGCAAATACTTTGACTAATTTAAAAAAAAAAGAAAAGAAATCCAACCCTTAAAGCCACATGAAAGGCAAGTCTCCACAAACAGACCCCAACAGCCTCAGCTAAGCAACCAGTCCTCCTAAAACTCCCCTTTCCAACTTGGCTTACATCCATCGCTCTCTACCGATCTTCCCCAGTTCACAGATTCATCCCCTACTGCATTCCTACAGAATTTAAATGTAAAATATTTTGCAAAACAAAGATGAAAATATTAATTACATTTTCCTTCATTTGCAAGGTCACAAAAATAATTGTTACAGATATTCTGGTCCAGCAGATGTAAAAAAGAATCTGCTATTCCACACATGGGATTAAAAGTCTTCTATGTCTCAGCACCTTGGTGTCTGTGCATTTCATACTACAATTTGCTTTATTTATTGTTTAAAATATATATTTCTTTTTTTACTTGGATCTGTAGTGTATGTAGTAATGTGACTTAATCCTGACTATTTGAAAAATCATGGCAGTCAGGTGAAGTTCATGACGACTGGAAAAAGGGAAATATAACCCCCATTTTCAAAATGGATGACCCAGGGAATTACAGACCAGTCAGTCTCACCTCTGTGCCTGGAAACATCTTGGAGCAGATTCTCCTGGAAGGTATGCTAAGGCACATGAAAATCAACAGGGTGCTGGGTGACAGCCAGCATGGCTTCACTAAGGGGAAATCCTGCCTGACCAATTTGGTGGCCTTCTATGATAGGGCTACAGAACTGACGGACAGGGGTAGAGCAGTTGATGTCATCTACCTGGACTTGTGCAAAGCGTTTGACACTGTCCCACACGACATCCTTGTCTCTAAATTGGAGCGACATCAATTTGATGGATGGACCACTTGGTGGATAAAGAACTGGCTGGATGGCCGCACGCAAAGAACTGTGGTCAATGGCTCAACGTCCAGCTGGAGACCAGTAACAAGTGGTGTCCCTCAGGGATCGGTGTTGGGACCAGTCTTGTTCAACATCTTTGTCGGTGACATGGGCAGTGGGATTGAGTGTGCCCTCAGCAAGTTTGCAGATGACACCAAGCTGTGTGGTTCGGTTGATATGCTGGAGGGAAGGGATGTCATCCAGAAGCACCTTGACACGTTTGTGAGGTGGGCTGATGCCAACCTTATGAAGT